CTTATCTTGCTGGATCTGTCTGCTGCTTTTGACACGGTTAACCACCAAATCCTCCTGTCAACCCTATTGGCAAAGGGCATCTCAAGAACCGCACGCCAGTGGTTTGAGTCTTACCTAGAAGATAGGTCCTTCAAGGTATCTTGGAGAGGTGAGGTGTCCAAGTCGCAACATCTAGCTGCTGGGGTGCCTCAGGGCTCAGTATTTGGACCACTTCTCTTCTCTGTCTACATGGCATCACTAGGTTCTGTCATTCAGAAACATGGCTTTTCATATCACTGCTATGCTGATGACACTCAACTCTACCTCTCATTCCATCCCGATGATCCGACGATAGCTGCTCACATCTCAGGTTGTCTAACAGACATTTCTTGCTGGATGAAGACCATCACCTTCAACTTAACCTTGCCAAGACAGAAGTAAGCCGTTTTCTGTGAATGTGCGAGACTTCCGGTTCATTAGCCACTGTAGGGAAAGAACGAGAAGAATAACAAAGTCCAGTAAATGGTAAAACTGTTTGCACTACAAACCAGTGTGTTCATAATTAAAGGGTTAGCTCACCCAAAAATGGAAATTCCGTCATTAATTACTCGCCCGCATGTCATTCCAAATCCCTAAGACCTCCGTTCATCTTCGGAACAAAAATTAAGATATTTTTGATGAATTCTGAGAGCTCTCTGACCCTCCCATAGACAGCAATGTAGTTACCACGATCAAGGTCCAGAAACGTAGCAAGGAGATCGGTAGGTTAAAAAAACACAAATAAATAACATAAAAAGGCCTAAAAAAGTGAGCGAGAATATAAAACAATATAACATTCTTAGTGCTTAACATTGAGATAAAATTAGATGCTTTGCAAAGCTGTGGTCATGTCACAACAGATCAAGATCAAGTATTGCACCCTTAGAGAGGAACCTTGTATGGTCAAGTGTATTTTATTTTATGTTGCCTTCTATGTGATTTTGTTTTCTTAACTTTCCTTTATCATTTAGAGGCAATCTCCTTTGTAGCCTTTGTCTGCATTTTTTCAGCTTATTGCAATGTACATTTGCTTAATTATTAATGAAGATGCAGAAGTTGCGTTTGTCCCAGATGGAGGTGACTGACATGTGAAGGGAGTGAAACGGGAATGCCCTCTTCAGGAAGACATCTTTGTTCAAACACAGGGAAATAGGAAATATGTATAAGTATAGTGTTTCTGGTAATTGTGGGGCATATTTCTGGCATTAAACATATGAGCTCTCTTTTAGAAACCAGTGATTTTAGGTTATCTTCACCCAGAAAACAAAGTGGAGAATTCACAACTTAAAAAGAAAAACGTAGTAGTTTTTGCATTCTGGCTGTTGACTACTGTGATGGAAATCTAATATTAAAGGGTTAATTCACCCAAAAATGACAATTCTGTCATAATTTACTCACCATCATGTCATTCCAAACCCATAAGACTTCTAGTAGTCTAAGCAATACAAATAAAGATATTTTTAGTATTCTCTCATCATCATCATATTATCAGCATACATACAAAGCGCACATCAAATATGGTAAACACGGAAGCTCAACTATACCTCTGTGAGAGGTGAGAACAAACCACACTGATTCTCGCAAAAGCTTACACGTGAATGTGTGGCACACTAGAACAAACCTCATTGGTTCTCACACATCAGGCAAGTACGGCTGAGCTTCCGGTTACCATATTTGATATGCTCTGTATATGTTTGTTGATCAATATTTCTATGTGAATTAAATCAATTAAATCTGTTCATCATATAAAGTGACTGTGTTCAACCGCTGTGACTCATATGGATTACTTTGTTGACGCCTTTATAAACGTCTGAAACTTGTTGCCTGGACTTTCAATGAATGGACAAAAATTATTAAAAGGAAATATTAAAAATATCTTCATTTGTATTTTATGGATGAATGAAAGTCTTCTGGGTTTGGAACTACATTTTCATTTTTGGATGAACTAATCTTTTACTTCATTTGGTAACACAAACTTTAGTAAGATTCCTCATCTTGTCAACCGTTAAACACATTAAATGTTTCAATCAAAACATTTGCTAATTGCAGGTAAGAATTTTGCCTCATCAAACTCAAAAGTAATTAACAAACTTCCCAAATTTGAGATCATCATATGTTTATTACCTTAAGTCAGTTCAAAATCCTCTGCAAGTCAAAGGATAATGCATGTTGACTCTTTTTAAATACTGTAGTGCATTTAAAGGAACAGTGTACGAAAGTTTTTATTTTATAAAGACAATTACTATAATTTTTGGATGGAATATCCTTAAATTGTACTAGGCTATATAAATGTGCTCTCAAGATATTGACTATATATTGTAAATTCAGATAAATACAGCATATTGTATGGAGATTAATTCATGAATTCAATCACAATTTTTTTTTATATATTATTTTTAAGATTTTAGAATTTGCTGAGAAAAGTCCCCAAATGACAAATTACATTATTGGCAGACAAAAGCTTTGAATAGACATTCTGTATTGTGACAAACATTCAAAACTATAAAACCATTCGGGATTTGGTTGTGTGTTCTTGTTGACTGATTGTTGAGATATGGGCATGCAATCAAAAGTGGAGGCAGATGAATGTGAGCTGGACAGGACTGAATGATTGGAGAAGTTCTGCATATGGCACTAGAGAAAAAATCAGTTGTTTCACAGGAAGATCCAGTTGTGACATTTTGATTAAACATTACATTGTTCACATAAATCGTTCATAATAAGATCTATAACAGTGAATCTCAACCTTTTGGCGTACCGGACCCCAGTCCAATTCAGAACCATCCTCAAGGACCCCCAGAACAACATTGACTCATCTATGTATCATTTGTGTCTTTGTGAGGACCAAATGCAGTCAAGTATAATTCAAGTTAGCTGACTCGTCCAGTATTTGACCATATCATCAGCTATATTGGATTTTTCTTTCATGGGAACATGTCATGTCAAAATATACAACATTTATACAAAAATTCATACTTTATTCGGACCCCCGGGCCTTACGTCAAGGACCACTAGAGGTCCACGGACCCCTGGTTGAGAAACACTGATCTATAACATACATTTAGAAAAATATAGGGTGAATTTTATTGCATGCCAATATAACAGTGTTATATCGACTATGTTTAGGGTTTTACCATAGGGACAATATCCAGAATTCA